TTGTTTCTTTTCAGAATCAGAGTCATGAGGCAACGTCTTCGAATGGTTAAGAAAGGGAGCTAGACCTCCAGCTCGAGGCCTGCTACTTGCTGTGCTACTGGCACTACTGGGTGGTCTCTGTTCCAGATGAGAAACTGGCTGCAACTCATTTACTGGCGGTAGCTTTTGTACGTTCACCGTCAAAATCAAAAGGCTGTGCATGAGAGTTGGAGATGGTGCTACCAGCTTGCCCCATCCTGTTTTGCTCAGTGCTAAAATTTGCCCAGTTTTGTTCATTGGCTTGTTTGTTGTAGCTTCAGCAAGAGGACATGTTCCTGTCCCAAGTGGCAAGCTTGTATCCAGGAGGGGAGAAGAGAGCACTTGGTGCAGAGAACCCATTGTTAAAGGCATACTTTAAAGAAGAATCTTTGGAAGGATTCGAATCATTTTGTTTGAGAGACATGGAGTAAATTACTGTTTTTCTTAAAACGATCATTTATACCTTTAAAGACAACGTGGAACAACTCCAGCACGTTCAGAGCAGTTGACACTATGGACACCGCAATCATGAATATGATAAAGATGGTTTTTTCTGTGGGTCGAGAGAGGAAGCAGTCTGTTTTGTGTGGGCAGGGATACCTCTCACAATGGTAAACAGCATTCAACATGAATTTGAAATCATAAATGCACCACTGAATTACCAAAAAGCTCACCTCAAAAATTATTTTAAAGATTATACTGACAATGTAAGTGTGCAACAAGCCACCTCTCATTTTAATTTTGCCTTGTATTTCCAAACCATACTTGAATTTCTTTAGTTCCAACTGTTTCAATGGCAAACCCACATCTTCACCTTCTTGTTCCAGAAGCTTTAATTGATTTTCTTTGTTAAGTATTCTTTTCTCTTTACTTGAGATGAGAAAGACGTGGCCCAGGTAAACCAGGGTGGGGGTTGAGACAAAAATAATCTGCAGGACCCAGAGCCGAATGTGCGAGATTGGAAAGGACTTGTCATAGCAGACGTTTTCACAACCTGGTTGCAGGCTGTTGCACAGGAACGCAGATTGCTCATCGCTCCAGGCCGACTCTACTGCAGTTCCCAGCACGAGGACACGAAAGATGAAGAGAACAGAGAGCCAGAGTTTACCCAGTGCAGTTGAATAAGACTGTGCCTTAGCCAGTAGTTTTGCAAGTGTACTCCAGTCAGCCATCTCGCTCTAACCTTATCTGTGAACGTAAAACATCATACATATCAATATAAAGTGCAAAACAATTTGAAATTGTGTTAATTTTTAGACAGCATCACTACATGTTGTATACTGAAATGGCAGACAAACACATTTTATTCTCTGTTGATTGTGATCTACAAATTGGTGTGAGTAGAGCAAAAATGGAGCGTCATGTTATTCTGTATCTTTTTCCTCCTTACTTACTTTGCACGTATTTACTTTGTTTAACTATGCTCTCACCTCAACATTTCTCATTTTACCATGATGATTTGTCCCTAAAACCTTGCTATGCCAAAAATATTTCCATGTATGATAGCACTCACTCACTGCAACTTAAACATTATTGTTGAAAAGGATCCTAAAAGGTTAAAGAAAGATAATTTATAGGCACCAGTTGTAGTTAATGAAACAGATCTATGCTTCACTGATTATTACTGATTTTGTAACTTGTTGGCAAGTCTGCAATTTATTGGTGAGTCAGTAACCAGGGACATTAGTGCAAGCTGGTGACTAACAACAACAACAACAAATTAAATTTGTATCGTACCTTTCACATCAGGACATCCCAGTCCCTGAAAAGGGATTTAGAAGAAAATTTATAAGGAACTATGTCATGCAGAGGGTAGTAGAACTCACTGTCCAAAGCAGTGGCTGAAGCAAAGAGTACAGATGCATTTAAGAGGAAGCTAAATGTACACATTACGCTGATGCTACATAATAATCCTGGAATTCAATATAGCTCCTTATCATGCTATTGAGACATCTCAAAGTGATACAGAGGATTTTACTGTTGTTAATGTGAGTTGTCAATGGATACGGATATAATAATAATAATAATAATAATAATCCTTGCATTTGATATAGCGCTTTTCACGTCGGGAGGACGTCCCAAAGCACTTCACAGAACACACTGTAAAGTGAATTGACTGTATATTTTGTGGGCGAACGCGGCAGCCAATTGCGCACAGCAATGTCCCACAAACAGTCATAGATTGAAAATGACCAATTTATTATTGTTTTGTTTTTTGGAAGGATTATTATTAGGCGTGTGGAGTAAGGAAACTTGCCCAAGGTTTCGCCCTCTGCCTGGAATTGAACTCAGGTCTCTCGCTTGCAAAACGAGTGCTCTAACCACTGAGCTACAGGACTCCACGAAGCTATCAAAATAATTAAGCTCAAAGAGACATTTTTTAGTTGCAAATATCTTCAACAACAACAACTTGCATTTATATAGAGCTCTTCACGAGGGGTAGCATTCTGGAGTGTTTAAAATTGCACTATCGTAGCATCTTATTGGAGTATTAATTGTACAGAAAGGCATAATTACCAATCTGAAGAATAGAATTATTAGGAGTTTCTTCTTCTGCTGCCTCTTCTTCTGCTAATTCCAATTTTATTATTATTATTTTTTTGAAGGAATTATTATTCCCACCAGACTAACAATGGGTTTCCTACTTACTACTAGGAAAACAGAGGCATGTGGAGTAAGGAAACATGCCTAAGGTTGCAAACTTGCCGGAAATCAAACCCGAGTCCTCTCTCATGAAATGTGCATAATTACATTGCCTCCTCATTGGTTAATTGTTCATTCGCAGTGTTACCAATTGGAACTTTGAAGTTTGGTATTTTATGTGCTCTGCAATCTTTTACAATTCGTTTAAAAAGTTCATCAAATCTGCTATATGCTCTTTTTTGCAAATACATAAAGTTTGGTCTTCATGCTTTTTTAATTTTATATGTAAATTACTAAAGTAGGATGCATGATTTTGAAATATTCTTTTAGAAAATCCACCCTACCGTCTTCCCATTGTTGACAAAATTGTCACTGTGTGTATTATTGTGACAGTATCAATCCTGATGGAAGGAGATTTAGGTTTATAACATTGTGTTACATATGATGTCCTGGTATCCTCACTGTTTACGTATCCACAAAGGATAGTTCAAATTACTTCATATATTGAGCTCAACACTATATTTTGACAATGCAGCACAATTTGCTGTTAGCCTTGTTTCTTGTTGTTAACACACTATAGGCATGGCAAATGACAAGTCAAGTAACACTCTTTGAAGCTGTTTGCATTATTAATAATGAAGTTCATTTGCCAACGATCAGCCCAGGTCTTGAGCCCTCCTTTTAAGATCTTCATTGACTCTTCTGAAACTACAATACCCTCCAGCTTGGTGCCATCTGCAAATTGTACTACCTTGTACTCATATCATTTAATAAATGAATACTATAATTCTTACTATTCTTTTCTAATTTGTTTTTAGCACTGGGTATTAATGTATGAACCAGCTTTTTTCTTTGTTAAACTAAATATTTAATGGGCTCTAAACTTCTAAAACAATTGAAAGGGCTTTTGCTTAAAATATGGTTCAATAGTTTTGAGGTAATAAATAATAATTCTTATATTTGATGTTCACAGAGGGTGGATGTTAGGATATAATAATAAAAATAATCCTGGCATTTTATATAACCCCTTATCATATCATTGAGATATCTCAAAGTGCTTCTCAGAATATATTGTAAAGTGTAGTGACTGTGTATGTCGTGGATAAACAGTAAGGCATACATAACAGGCAATCAAAGGCAAAGGATGCTGAAATCTTAGTTTAAAAATATACATTTGAAAGCAAGTGTTTGTAATGATAAATAATGTGGTTATAAACTGTGATTCATTTTTTCATATATTCCACACACGGTGTGTGTTAAATCAGAAAGTTAGAATAAATGGAGAGCGGTTGCAGCCTCTCATAATAGACCATTGCTAATTCTCTCAAGCTCTGTTTCTATTGGGTTTTGTGAGGCTAGCCTCAAAAGGGTTTGGGATTTTTTCACAATAGCCAATATAATTGGATATCCAGTTGTGTGAATGTGCAAAGCACACATATACAAGAAGTACCAAGGAACATTAATTTGTTCTCATTATGCAGCTAAAACACATCCTTCGAGATCTCACACATACCATCAAACTTGATTTTATGTTCTCTGTTACCACAAGGGTAAATAAGTTTACTTTTGTTCAGGGTAGGATTAGAATCAGTGAAAGGAATAGACATAGATGTAGAGTGAGTCAGAGAGAGAGAGGAGAGAGAGAGAGAGTTAGCAAGACTTAGAAAGACAGAAAAAGAACTGTAATCAAATGTTTAGCTTTCCCCTTCGTGAAGACAAGAGTTACTTCTGGAGGAAAGACAGATGTACTATTACTCCTTTTTGCATTTGATATAGCGCCTAATCACGTATTTGTGATGTCTCAAAGCGATTCACAGAATATACTGTAAAGTGAATTGACTGTATATTTTGTGGGCAAAATGCAGCAGCCAATTGCACACAGCAGTATCCCACAAACAGTCATGGATTGAAGCGACCAATTTTTTTCCTGCTTTTTGAAGGAATTATTACGAAAAAGCAATCCGCCAATTGACTAGCAACCGATTGTGCACCATCGGTGGTCAGGCTTTCAGTAAATCTGCCTCCACCCTCTGGATCTCGCCCCTCCCTTGCCTCCTTTAAAGTCATCTCAAGACTTTCTTCTTTCGTCAATCTTTCTTCTCCCCTTCACCCCACAAGCCCGAGCCCCATCCCCAGTACCGGTGCAAATGCTTGACACATCCTCCCAATGTGAAAAACAATATATAAATGTACATTTTAATTGTATTGTATGTAGATATAAAGAAAATATTTCATACAAACTTTAAAAAACATAAAAATAAATCTTAACCATCCTTGAATCTAGTTCAATACCCAATAAGAATATCTAAAGCAGGACAGACCAAGAATAATTTAGCAAAATTTTGCTTTATTGGGTTTTTAAAAAAGTTATCAGGTTTTAATGAACAAAAGATTGCTCACATGCATGGTAACAGTTGAATAAGAGTCTCAGTACAAGTGGACTGCCTAACAGTGATTTAACATGGAATGTTAAAATATGAGAAATTAGAAACACTGACACAGGCAACTTCATACAAAATGGGTCAAATAGGAAGGAAATATCTCTTTCCTTCCTTTACTTCTTGTAACCGATAAATATTATCAGCTGTTTTCCAAAAGGTTCACAAATGGCACAGTGGATCTTTTACAAATGACCCCTGGAGAGAATGTTGCACCTGGCACAGGTATTCTGAACACCAGTTGAGAGGTTTCTCAGTTCAGCCACTAGGGTCACCAAACTCAAGCATTCTTTGATACCAACCATTGAAGATGGGTGCGAACGAAAGGGGGGGAAGGGGATCATCTGTAATAGCCTAGGCCACAGCATGGAGAAAAACCTTCTTTAAAGTTATCTTGGGTGGGTTACAAGGCATGACATGAGTCTCCTGCTGCAAAATAAATTAGTTACATGCATACTACTTGACAATTCATAACTCCTTTCAGCGTCATTGTGCATTCTAAGCAAATATAGAATTTCAGTGCAAACGCCATTATAGCTAAAGTAATAAACAGAACTTGGATGTGTGATGGCCAAGTTGAACCTTAGAACTGTAGTTTTAGATTGCCCATGACGTTATGAATAAAGTATTTAAAAGATCCAAAATATAGGTGAATGTGGATATTTGTGAAGCTATACTGACGAATACCTTTATTACTTGTTGACTAAATATTAGTCCAGCACTAAGCACATTGACTATAGGTTTCTCATACTGTTGATAACTTCACCTCAAAGTACTAAAGCAGTACTACAATATCTATCACAGAAATGATTAAATATTTAAAACTCTCATTCATACCAAGGATAAAGTTACAATTGTTTAGCAATAGTAATCATTCTTAACATTTCTCAAATAAACCACAGTATCCTCTGTTGGATACAGACAATTCATCTTACACAATCAAAAGAGTGGAACAAGATGTGCCACATTGGCACAGCAGATTTACTAAGAACGCTTACATAATCAATCTGGCTCTTTTGCTTAAGTGACTTCCTCAAAATACAACCAAACCAATATCCTTGAGAATTGGTTGGGAATGTAATATTATTCCAAATTTTTTTAGGTTTGCCTTACCTGGGTGAACTTCAAATAAAGGATATTGGACAAAGTAATTGATTTTTTTTAAAAAAAGACAAAACTGCCATATATTAATCCTACCAGATTGACCAAACACCTAAATCAGGGATGGCCAACCTTTTTGGTAAGTGATTGTGACCTCAATCCTGTTAAGATTTTATTTGGCAGGGTAAGGGTTAAAAATGTTCTGAAGGCGTGCCTAAAAATACATGAGCGCATTGAAAAAAGCTGCTCAGTCAGATTTGTAGTCAGGCACAGAGCCAGATAAGACATCAAACATTCACTTAGTCAAACAATATACAGAGATACATATCCTTTTGAAAGTATTTTGCTCAATAAACAATTGCAAAGTGACATACTTTTACTGCAAAAAAATCAACTGAATGCCAGGCTTGGTACCTGTACACTGTTGAACTCTGCAGAGGAACAGATGGGAATGCCTTATCTCAGTTGATGTTGTTGTTATCTCCAAATTATTTGGAAGAAATGGTTGAGAATCGGAAGTTGTTCTTTCTGATGTGATGCAAAAGTGGCTGCAAAAGAGATTTTTGGATCTGTATGGAGGAAAACATCAATGTGTAGCATGATGTTTTGGAATGTTATTAACAGGGCTTGAGTCATGGATTGGAGGCCGAATGTCAAAAGGACTCAGAGCTGTTATGGCAGAATGTTTCTCAGAATGTATAAGATCAAGTAAACCTCTTAGCTGTAAGGTAATTCTATTAAATAACGCAGCTGGGCCTTGCTTGAAGGATTTCACTAGAATGCACATCCACCAAAACAAAGTATGCATTTCTGTATCTTAGCAAGCTCCTAATTAAAAGCTGGTGACATTGAATCATTCATTCATTTTGAGCAAATCTCATATCTACTCGGTACCAACGTATTTTGAACAATGAGCTCTGGATCACCTCCAGAAAAGTAAGTTGTTTCTATTCAGAATCACAGTCATAAGGCAACATCTTTGAATGTTAAGAAAGGGGAGCTAGACCTCCAGGTCATCTGCTCGAGGCCTGCTACTTGCTCTGCTGCTGGCGCTACTGGGTGGTCTCTGTTCTAGATGAGAAATTGGCTGCAACTCATTTACTGACGGTAGCTTTTGTAGAGTTGGACGTTCGCCGTGGAAATCAAATGGCTGTGCATGAGAGTTGGAGATGGTGCTACCAGCTTGCCCCATCCTGTTTTGCTCGGTGCTGTAATTTGCCCAGTTCTGTTCATTGGCTTGTTTGTTGTAGCTTCGGCAAGAGGACATGTTCCTGTCCCCAGTGGCAAGCTTATATCCAGGAGGGGAGAGGGGAGCGCTTGGTGGAGAGCACCCATTGTAAAAGGCATACTTTGAAGCGCAGTCTTTGGAAGGATTCAATCCATTTTTCTGAGAAACTTGAAATAAATTACTGTTTTTCTTAATACGATCTGTTAAACCTTTAAATACAATGTAGACCAACTCTGCCACGTTCAGAGCAGCTGACACTATGGACACCACCATCATGAATATGATAAAGATGGTCTTTTCTGTGGGTCGAGAGAGGAAGCAGTCTGTTTTGTGTGGGCAGGGATACCTCTCGCAGTGGTAAACAGCATTCAACATGAATTTGAAATCATAAATGCACCACTGAATTACCAAAAAGCTCACCTCAAAAATTATTTTAAAGATTATACTGACAATGTAAGTGTGCAACAAGCCACCTCTCATTTTAATTTTGCCTTGTATTTCCAAACCATACTTGACTTTCTTTAGTTCCAACTGTTTCAATGGCAAACCCACATCTTCACCTTCTTGTTCCAGAAGCTTTAATTTATTTTCTTTGTTAAGTATTCTTTTCTCTTTATTTGAGATGAGAAAGACGTGGCCCAGGTAAACCAGGGTGGGGGTTGAGACAAAAATAATCTGCAGGACCCAGAGCCGAATGTGCGAGATTGGAAAGGACTTGTCATAGCAGACGTTTTCACAACCTGGTTGCAGGCTGTTGCACTTGAACGCAGATTGCTCATCGCTCCAGGCCGACTCTACTGCAGTTCCCAGCACAAGGAGGCGAAAGATGAAGAGAACAGAGAGCCAGAGTTTACCTCCTGCAGTCAAGTAAGACTGTGCCTTATCCAATAGTTTTCCGAGTGCACTCCAGTCAGCCATCCCGTTTTAACTTTAGCTGTGAACATAAACATCAAGTATATCAAAATATCGAAATTGTGTACAATTTTAATGTAAGCTAGATAGTACATGCATTATAAGCTAGATGGTACAATCTTAAAGGAAATGAAGGAACAGAAATGAACCTTTATGAACACTGGTTAGGCTTCAGCTAGAGTATTGTGTTCAGTTCTCGGCACCACACTTTAGAAAGGATTTCAAGGCATTCGACAAGGTGCAAAGGAGATTTACCAGGATGGTACCAGGAATGAGGGACATCAATTATGAGTAGAGGCTAGAGAAGCTAGGATTATACTCCTTGGAGCAGAGACCATTAAGAGGAGACTTAATAGAAGTTTTCAAAACTATGAGGGAATTCGATAGGGTGAACAAGGAGAAACTATTTCCACTGGCGGGTAGGTCAGTAACCCGAGGGCACTGATTTAAAATAGTTGTTAAAAGAAACAGAGGGGAGATGAGGAGAAATGAGTTGTTTGGATCTGGAATGCATTGCCTGAAAGGGTTGTGGAAACCAATTCAATAACAGCTTTTAAGAGAGAAGTAGATAATTATTTGGGGAGGACAAGTTTGCAGGGCTATGGGGAGAGCGCAGGGGAGTGGGATTCAATTTCTCAGCATCTTACCACGATGCTTTGTCCCAAAAACCCTGTTTATGCCTTTCGCCCACAAATTATGCAGTCAATTCACTTTATAGTATATTCTGTGAAGAGCTTCTAGATGTTTCCGATATGTATCGACTGCAAGTATTATTATTGTTATATTTCCATGTACAAAACCACTCAGTGCACTGCAGCTTAAATTTATGGTTGAGAATAATTCTAAAAAGTTGAACAAGCATCATTTATAGGCAACAGTTGTCGTTAGTGGATCTGATCTATGCCTTCACTGATTATTGATGAGTTTGTAACTTCCTGCCAAGTCTGTAATTTTTTGCTATAACTAGAAACATCAGTAGAAGCTCGTGACAAGGGGATTTAAAAGAAAATTTATGAGGAACTACGTCAGGCAGAGAGGGTAATAAGAACGTGGAACTCGCTGTCCAAAGCAATGGTTGAAGCAGATATTACAAATGCATTTAAGAGGAAACTAGATGTCCACATGAGATAGAAGGTAATAGAAGGGTATCAGAGGAAGTAAGGAGTGGTTGGAGACTCATGTACAGTGTACAGACTAGTTGGGCTGTAAAGTCTATGTACATCTGCGTAATTTATAAATTGTACAAGTGGCCGCAGATCAATCAAACATTAGTGACGTGATACATATTGAATTCCAACTGCAGGACAAAGTGTCCCATTTGCTTGTATGTACCTGTGAGTTAGATTTTAATGAACTTGAAAACCTACGTCCTCTGCTCTTTGACACCTTTGACCACTCTATTTTTATCCACCGACTCTCCTTTCACCTCAACCGTCATGATACTGTTCTTGACTTGGTCAGATCCTATCTTTTACACCGTCTCGACTTTATCTACACAAATGGCTTCTCCTCCAGTTCCCACACAGTCTCGTGTGGTGTTCCTCAGGGCTCTGTCTTCGGTCCTCTCCTCTTCAATGTGTACATACTCCCTCTTGGTGGCATCATCCGCAGACATGGGGTCAACTTCCACATGTATGTGGATGACACCCAACTCTATCTCTCTGCCTCCACCTTCAACTCCAGGACAACTGCTGTCTCGACATCTGTGAGACATCAAGTCCTGGATGAGAGCTAACTTTCTACAGTTGAAGGTCAATAAGACCGAGACCCTTCTGATTGGCTCCCATCAGCGCCTTCTCACCTCAGGCACTGACAGCATCACTATCCATGGAGGCACACTCCACCTCACTGAGCCAGTTTGGAACCTTGGCATCACTTCATTACAACGAGGCTCGACTATGCAAACTCACTGCTTGTCGGCCTCCCCAACTCCTCCCTCCACAGACTGCAGATCATCCAGAACTCTGCAGCCCGTGTCCTCTCCCGCACTAGGCTCCATTACCCTATCACCCCCATCCTTGCCCAATTCCACTGGCTTCCCATCACACAGAGGATACAGTTCATATCCTGGTCCTCACCTTCAAAGCTCTCCATGGTCTTGCTCCCCCCTACCTCTCTGATCTCCTAACCCCCTACCACCCAGTTCACTCCCTCCGCTCAGCGGGCTCCGGCCTGCTTCACATCCCTTGCCTCACTTGCCGCACTATTGGTGGGTGGGCCTCCTGCCAGTCTGCCCCCACCCTCTGGAACCCCATCGCGCAGTCCCTGCATCTCTCCCCTCTCTCACCACCTTCAAGACCCACCTCAAGACCCTCCTCTTCTACAATGCTTTCGATCTCTCTGTTTCCCTGCCTTCCCTCCACCCTCCTCCACCCCGACCCCCAGCTTGGGTCCGAACCTCTGTCTGTCCAGCGCCTTGGGACATCCTCCCAACATGAAAGGCGCTGTACAAATGTAATTTTGTTGCTGTTGTTTGCTGTTGTTGGCACCCGGCCTGCCTCATCATCAAGAGTCGGGCATTCGGCCTCTCTGCTCCCATCCTTTGGCACACCATCCCACAGTCCCTTTGTCTTGCTCCTTCCCTTGCCTCCTTTTCTTCAACCGCGCTGTCGGGCACAGTCCATCCTCCCACCCCTATGCTCCCTGCCCTCCACCCCTCCTGATCCCAACCTCCAGCTTGGGTCCAAATCCCTGACTGGCCAGCGCCTTGGGACGTCCCCCCTGTGTAAAAGGCGTGATACCAATGTAAATTGTTGTTGTTGTTGCTGCTCATCTATCTCTGCTTGTGCTACATAATAATCTTTGCATTCAATACAGTTCATGTTAACATGCATTCATGATATTTAGACATCTCAATGTTGTTCACAGGATTTTACTGTTGTTGACATAAGTTGTCAATGGATTCAGACATCAAGATAATCAAGCTCACACAGATGTCTTTTGGCAGTATTAATTGTACAGAAAAGCATAATTTCCAATCTGAAGAGCACAAATAAATAGTTTCTTCTTCTTCTTCTGATTTTTTGTTGCTCCTCGTCACTTATTTATATACACTTATTTACAAATAAACAAGTCCCTCGTGTGTTCTAGAATCTCATCTATTGATGCACTGGAACACATGAAGTTGATCCGATCAGTTGGTGGCCACTTATCCATTATCCAATTGTCATCTTTTACGGAGCATTAGCTTATAAGTATTCACTTGCTATTTCCCTAACGTGTGCGTGACCACAAGATCATCTGCTTATCACACATACACATAAACCATTTTCTTGTCTTACAGACCATCTGGTTACACCTCTCCATGCAGTTGGAACAGAAAAGACATTGCATAACAACAACGATTTTAGATAATCGTAAACAAACATTACTCTTTCAAAGGTATGCTGTAACTCACAAATTAGAGGGAAATTACATGAGATATTTATCCAAGTAATCTGGTGGATTTTTGGTCAGGACACCAGGAGACACTCCCTTCTCTTTTCAATTAAACCAGGAATTATTAACATTCATCTAAAGAACAAGCCATGTTAATGGCCTGTGAGTATGTCCAATGGAAATGGTAGCCAACATTTGTGATCATTGACACTATTGGTGATCAGTAACATTAATTGTGATCAGTAACATTAATTGTGATCAGTGACACTTTTTGTGATTAGTGATACTATTTGTGACCACTGACACTATTTGTGATCATTCGCAGTTGTTTTTTATGGAATCGGTCCTGCTTTCCTGTGAGTTTGTTTGTTTTATATGATACTTCTTGATTCCAGTATTTTTGTATTTTGGTATTTTGATGCAAAGATGTGTAGTTAGACTAAATGGAAGACAAGTGTTTTAAGAAAACAAGTTGCCACACAGTCTTTATTTCCAGCCTAATCTGCAAACAACCATTGGGAATTGGAGGTCTCAGTCTAGTTTAATGATACCATGATTACAGAATGTACCAAAAATCCCGTAAAAGTTCAGTTGTATTTAAAGCTACACTGCCAACAGTTCCTTTGGTTCAACTGGTGCCATCATTGTTCCATGCAATTTTGTCTTTGAGGAGATTTGGAAAAAGTATATAGTAGCTTTACTGTTTACTTTTTTCCCTACAAGAAGATAGAAACATAAGCATGAGAAATGTGATAATTATCAAATCAAATGTTGTATTTTCCCCTATTCAATACACTTGAACAGCCACCAGTAGCAGATCAGCCACTGCGAGCAGTTGGCAGAGGGTTTCATTCTCCATGTGTTCTACCTCTAATACTGGCTATGTTCACTTCAATTGGAAGAAATTCCACCTGGATATAGACTTTATTTATGAAGTATTTTAAAATGTCTAGGTTTGGTAAATTGTTGAATTCAACCTTAACTTTGAAGTGAATTTTCTGTAGTTCTTAAAATAAATGACAGTTAACAAGCATGAGAATTAAGCCTGAATTTAAGTCTGCGTACTCTGAAATGTTATATAAGAGTAAATCTAGACACGGGTGGAGTTTTTCTCCAGTAGTTGCCAAACTTATATTTGACTTTCCTGTTTCATTTTTCTGTCTTCTGCATATATTTTGTTTGGCTTTTGTACAACTGACCTTTTTACTTTAAACCACAATTAAACAATGATCCACAAGATATATTAGAATAAAATTTATTTTATTGAGTTCTTCAATTCAATCAGTGTACATATTCAGTTGTTGTGTTCCCCTGTCATATACTGGTCTTGATAAATTGTCCTACTGTCCTACTCGGTTTCTCTAGTTGAAAAAGTATCACTGGCAATGGCTGATTAATGGCAAGCAGGAGATACAGAAGGCCTGCTATTTTCATCAACATTACGCTGATAAAGCATTGTCCTCTCTCCACTCAGCAGGCTCCGGCCTGCTCAATGTCCTGTGCCCAGCCCGCCCCACCATCGGCAGTCGTGCCTTCAGCCTCTCTGCCCCCACCCTTTAGAACTCCATCCCACATTCCCTTCACCTCGCTGCCTCCCTTGTCTCCTTCAAAGCACGTCTCAAGACCCTCCTCTTCAACCGTGCCTTCGGCCACTCTTCCCACCCTCCACCCTTCCTTAACCAATCCCCACCCTGCTCAAGTCCAAATCCATGACTGTCCAGTGCCATGGGACACCATCCCGATGTGAAAGGCGCTATACAAATGGAAGTTTGTATTGTATTATACCCCAATGGATCTGGATTAGGGCCACGGGTCACTGGTGCAGGAGTCAATCCCTGTGTGCTTCGCAATTGATGTCACTTGTGCAGAGCTAAACGATGGCACTTAGTGCCGTTTTATATTTTTAATTGATGAGTACCACCTCTTTCAAAATACCAACTGATGCATGTAAGCAGAGCCAGACAGACAATCCAGACTACCTGTTCCACTGCCTCTTCATGGGGTTTCAGTCTCATTAGTCTGACGGTCCATCACCTTACCTGATGCATTCCAGTTGAATGTAAAAGTTCTTTTTGGAACAATAGTGATTGCAACAAGATAGTCTGGTCTTTGGGAAATCCCAGCTGAGGTCCGTTTCCCCATTATTGTGCGTTCATTGCAATCTTGCTGTTTGTATATGTGTTATGTTACACAACAAATTATAGCTTTTATGACTATTTCTCTGCCGCTACAGCACTTGTACATGTGGTATTCACAAATTCAACTTCCCCCAGTTTCGCGAAATGTGCTGTGGTTCGAAGATACACCAATACCATTCTAACACATATTTTCGCACACATCCTGTTCATCCTGAGACACAATATTGACTCTGGAGATTAACTCCTACTATACTTCTTGTCACTGCAACGTGATTGGGGCACTCTTCCTCCAATATAACTATGATAGTACCGCTCCCAGACATGACTGCACCACAGTACCTACAGGGCCTGAAAAGGCTGGAAATCAGACTGTCCGACTTTGATATTCCGCCATGCAGGGTCAGAATTCCACACTCCACCGCTGGTTTAACATCCTTGTCACATTTATAAGACAGACTTGGTTGCAGTACTTTCATAGTGTTAGATGGCCATCATTCAAAATTCTTTCTCATTAGCAGTGAGACTGTCAATAAGGTTAATGAAATTGCATTTCTCAATCTCAGCATTTCGGAATGTCAGGAGCAGAGTGCAGATGAAACGGACTTTATGCCCATTATTTATGAACTGAGCGATTCCTAGCTCTAAAATATTTTAAGTTTCCAATTGGAACAAGACAAACGATAAATGGACAGACATAGAATGTACTTGATAATTTCAAGTGTGGCATTGCAAATTATTTGACCTGAACATGAAACTCTTCTCAAGAGAGTGCAGACCACACTGCTGAGAAACTTTAATTTTAGTAACAAGAAGGGTGATCATTGTATTTCTATTGCTGGTAGAATTCCACATCTAAGTGTCATTCAAGCACAATAACTATGAGCTGTCAAATAGTTTAACATGTTTGCAAGAGTTTGTGATGCACTAATATAGGCATAATTACAGGTTTGAAGTTACTGTAAAGCGGGGTGTCACAATTGCTAAATATCTATTTTGGAATAGAGCGGAAAACAATAAATTATAGTACAGCTTCAAAGTATTTCGGTCAAAGGCATTGCAACGTTGTAATATATTTGCAGAAACTAATTTGATGTTTAATATGAACTGACCATAAATGTCATCGTATTTTCACAAACTATCACGGAAACTCTCAGGGGTTCCAGAGCAGCAAGAGTGAAGGAGAAAGCATTCAATAGTTTTAAACCACTTTATCTTAGCACACCAGAAATATATGCACCAATATCTTCAATCAATACAATTATGATTCTAGATTAAGGTTAATTAGTAGTTTTTTTCCTGAAACAAAATAGAAGTCTAACTAACACTCCTGTGAATATATAGTAATAATAATAATCCTCGGATTTGATATAATGCTTTATCACATTGGAAGTATATCTCAAAAGTGCTTCACAACATTTTCTGTGAAATGGAGTGACTGTGTGTTTGTAGGCAAACGTGGCAGCACAATTGCGCACAGCAATATCCCACAAACAGCCCCGAAACAAATGACCAACTTTATCTGGGGAATTGTTAGCCAGGAAAATGGAACTGAGTTTACTATCAGAGCTGCAATAATAAATTGTTTAAACGGTTATCAGAATGCCTTTTAATAAATGACAGCATTATATTTCCACTGAATATTTTGTTGTTAAATTAGTGTTTTTTTGTTTAGTTTGGAATCGAAGTCCAGTTGTTGCTGTTGTAGGGTTTGCTGCCCTCTGCCTGTGCTGTCTAATTTAATATTGCTACTGTTTACTTTGAACAGTTTTGTTTTCTGGTCCATGGCACAACAGTGCAAAACACCGCAAGTGATAGATAAACAGAAGACAGCAAGCCCAGCAGCAACAAGAACTGAATTTAATTTCTACAATAAATATCACTAATAAAATATTCAATAGAAACATAATACTGTCATTTAATAAAAGATGTTCTGAAAGCTATTTAAATTGTAGGTGTTTGCATTGCAAATACCTACACTTTACATTAAATCATATGAAATGCTTTGACACATCTTCCCGACATAAAAGGCACTGTATCAAATGTAAGGATTATTATTATCTGTCATTACTGAAGCCCATATAATACATGAAAGATATTTAGAATATGTTTGGTGAAAACATATCTGAGCAGGATTTTGAAGTTTGTGCATTTCTCGGGATGCACAATAATGTGGAAAGATAAAAAGGAATTTACAGTTTTATAACACCTTTATTGTGCTAACAAAGCACTTTACAGTAACTATTGTAATTTGTAGTGGACAAATACAGGAGCCATTTCACACAATCAGCTATGTTTTGGAAGCACAATTAAATGTCTGCATGCACATCTAGAGGATTGTTGGCCAGGGCATGGTAAGAAACTCCTATCTCTTTTCAAATGATGGAATCTTTAGCCTGAGGATGGCCACACATCTGGGACCTCAGCTTAATGTCTCTGCAAAATGAGACTTCTGACAATACCCTCCCCTCATCAGTACTGCACTGGAGTTTCAGCCTGGACTATGAGAGGATGTCCTGGTGTTAGGTTTGAACTCAATTTCATACAAAGTCGAGAGTGCTATCAACTAAATCAAGCTGCCCAGTAGTGTCCAATGATACAGGGAGTACTTACAATTTCTTTTTAACATTTTGGACTTTTGCGATAAACTTCTGACATTGAAATAACATTTCCCTAACCTGATTTTTGAGTCGAGAATGAAAAGTGCACAAGAAATTCAACGATGGAAACTATCTGCTTCAGAGTGTGATGCGCCTGTCTCGCTCTACTTGTGCTCATCATAGTATAGGCACAGATTTGATGTGCCATCTGTGGCAGCATATATTGCGGACTCAACATCATTCTGCTAAAACAGCATCGTAAATACTAGTTACTTTTCTATAGCATTCTATATATATAAAAAGTTTAGACAGTTCGCATTGTGGCGAATTGCTAACTTCTCCAGTCGGTCTCACGCTACTTGGCTAAATTGGTGTGAGGCTCATAAAACAGCACTTGCATTGCAGAGACAGCTTCTGCACATAGGGCAACCAGAGCACCTGCTGTCGATCAGATGTGCACTGGTTGAACTTAGAAAGAAACCCTTTGGGCGCTAGGACCCAGAAGAGAAGCTACAGGGCAAGTATTTGAGCTGGGGGGAAGGTGTGGAGGTGGCAGTACTGTACAGACCAGGGTTCAAATCACAACCCAACCTTAAATCAAACACATTCTAATGCACTTTTTTCTTCTAATCTAAAAGGTTGAAAACGTTACGTTTTGAAAAGATTGCATATTAAATTCCTCAGAGAGAGAGAGAGGGAGAGAGAAGTGCATTCTTACCGACACGTTTCAATTTATAAAAAAAACTATTCAATTCAGACACTAATGCTGGAGCATCCAACTAAGTGGATCAAAGCAGCTCGTACAGCTTCCCCCCCAAGCATTTACGCAAGAAAACTGTTTCTTTTTCTTTTTAAAAACACTTGTCAATGGAATGAGCGACTATAACTGTAAGGAACAGTGGGCAATTATACCTTTAATCGTTTGAGAAGATTAAGAAAGCTGTTCCTTCCCCCCCCCTAAAGCATCTAAAGCTGGACATCTTACCTCAACACTTTACCTTCCTTGGAATTACAACACTCTTATTGTAAAATGGTCTCAGGCTTCTGAAAGTATTCACACACTGAAAACTTTTGCACAAATAGTTCAGAAACTTCTGTTCAAAATCCACTGATGGAACTTAGAGGCGTGTGTGTGGGGTGGGGTGGGGGGGGGAAGAAATTGTATAACTTACCACAATGCCAGCAAACTCTCCAGTGAGTGGTGAAAGACTTTCCAAAAGTCTTACAAACCAGGATCTAGACACAGTGGGTATGAGTGTGTGTGGAGAGGCACCACTCGCTTGTCTCTTTGAAAGTTGCTCCACTTGTAGAAAGTAACTGAGGGAGGACAAGTTCTGCAGTGTGTTGGCTGAGTTGTTGGTGCTGGCGGATTTAAAGTGCTTTGCGAGAGAAAAAAAGTTTGGAGTCATCTGACTCTGACGTGGAGTTTTTCTCTCTCTCCCCCCCACCCCCACCCCCAACCCCACCCCAAGACGTGTAAACTTTCAAGGGGATCAGTCATCTGCAAACCTTCCAGCATTCCGCCAAATCACTGCAAAGCACTGCAAATAGCGACGTGGGCACTCACTTCATCTGCTTCAGCTTCTCCTAATCTGCACAAAAGCCCCCAAGAAAAAACATTTGCAGGGCAAGGTTTCTCCCCCCCCCCACACCCCCCCACACCCCCTGCATTTTCCCCGATGGTGATGTTGAAAAGGATGCACTGTGGAAAAATGGTTGTGAATCCAAGGATCAACTTTATTTTCCCTCAATTGGAATATGTGCTGTTGGTGTGTTGACAATCTGTTCACAATCTGACCAAATGCACAATTTGAAACTGTGGCTTTTTTTTTCCTCCATAACTGTTCAGGAAATGAAACGGCTCATCAGTTATTTCTGTTCAAAGTGGTTATTTAATATCGTGCTACAGACAGAGCCATTCTGATCACAAGGGGATCTTTAACACTAACACACACACACACGTTATTTAGTCCTTTCTGCACCAATTTTCTAGACATGCTCTTTTTCCATTGAGATTGCAAACTTTTCAAACAACACCAGGCGTTTCAATAACACTGGGGATCTTTTTCAGAATTTGAGAAAATCCACAATTTGAAATTGCGAATCGTTTCGATCGGTGTTAACCCGATCGTTGCAGTCATTTAAATGCATATATATATAGAGAGAGAGAGAGAGTGAGAGAGAGATTTTGTGGGGTGCAACTTTGGCAGAAGGTGTTTCAAACAAAGATGCAATAAGTACAAAGACGAAATCCCTTCCCGATTTATAGCCGAAGCTGATTTCCTGGCAGGAATGTGAGTGGATCGAGAGTTAGCTCCTTCCACACCAGAACATACCCTGAGCCCAGGACAGAGTCCATACTGAGGGACAGCTACAGATTCCACAGAGGAACTTGATTGACAATGGAAGAAAACAGTGTCACTCAGTGTGGCTTTCAGTGGCTCTTTTATCAAGAAATCATTTTGCCACAAATCGGTCAGTCAGTCAGTCGTGATCTGAAACTTCCACCCTGATCAAAGTTTGTTTCATTGCAAAAAAAAAAGTCTCCTTTGAGACTTACTTGTCCGGAAGGTCACAAGTTAAACTTGTGGAATTGTCTTTTCTTAGACATTTTGGATTTCAAAATTGCACGAACTTTATTGTTATGAAGTGTTTATATTATTTATTGCAAACTTATCGTGTTATATTATATTATGCATTATTTATTAACAATAAAGAAAACTTTATTATTAGCTAAAACGGTTGACGATCGCACCGTTTGTTACAAAAGAGAAACTTATGCATGTACAAGTCAGGAATGATAAATCAAACAAAAACAGTTTGCAACCAACTTTGCAACTAATATACGTTCCCTCAAAAATACTACTCAAAATTTCTCACATGTAGTGAAGGATTTAACGTCTCAGGTTTATTTAAAAATTTATTGAAGTGGAAATTTTAATAAACCTTAACATGTAGCACTGTGTGTGTAGGAGAGAGAGAGAGAGAGAGAAGGGGCTCCACTAGACATGGAAGTTTGAAAAGAGAGAAAAAAATGTTTTCTTTTTTAATTTTAAAAACAAAAGCTGTTCGTACAAAATGAAGCTTTGCAAAAAGTTGGGTTTGCATCTGAGTGCCCCATTTCACAACTGTTCCATTCCTTTCACTGCCTTATTCCACAAATGGACCAGTGCTCAAAAACAGTGAGGGAGAGAGGTGTTTCATTAAAAAGACATCTTGAATTGTGTATTCCGGTGCATTTATATACCTGTGGCGTTAACAGTTATTTATTTCAGTTCTCCAATTGCCAGTCTATGTGTTTCCCTTTATATTGGGAGGACGTGACACAGACACACTTGTTATTAAGAAACACAGCATTGTAAACAGGATGGAACAAAACGAGCTGCATAGCCCTATAAACAATTCGATGGCTACCTGGCATAAAAAATATAAACCATTCAGGCAGCCCTGTTATTCTGTGAGAACCAGACTATTGCAATGAATGTGAAAACTGGCATTCTTAGGAAATGTGGAGTTATTGCGCCCTCTTGTTTAAAACATGTAAAATACCAGTGAATTTAAAACAAATGTTCAGAGGAATATTTAACTTGTAGGAAGCCACCAACTAACACCACCTAACTTGGCTTATTGATACAAATATAATTTGACTCTTGAAAAGCAAGCAGTTAATATCTTGGCTGTTGATAATTTTCCATCGTGGAGTTCATGACAGCCCAGGCATTAAGCAATATTAATATAATAGTGCTTCCGTTTTTCAGTATAGCACCTTTTGACATCATTGTAATGTCCCAAAGCATTTTCACAGAATTTACTGTAAAGTGTAGCAACTGTGCATTTGTAGGCAAATTAATGCAGGGTTTCAATCCTGACACCAAGCATATCCTAACAGATCTTAAATAGTTCACCGAATTCCTGCCTAATTCAATACTAAAATTAGTTTTTCCAAAACAACAGCTCATACTCACTCATTCTCCCCTCACTCTCACACCCTCAGTGTCTCATACCTTTCATATACACTCATACTCTTCTCTCACATACTCATTGTCTCACACTGAAAGTGAATTGGGTGAATGGAGGGGAGTGGACAAATCCTGAATGTACCTTAGTAGCAGTTCTATATTTTATGCCAATCGAAACCTCTAGAAGTTGGTTCCCTTTAGAATTTTTTTAAATAGTCTAAGTCCTTATAGACAACAAAAGATTGTATTTATATAGCGCCTTTCATGCGGGGTAGTGTCCCGGAGCTACAGTGACATAGCTTGACATGGACAGAGTCTGACCATGAGTCGGGGGAGAGTGAGGGGGGAGGTAATCGTAAGCACTAACAAAAACAAAGGTGTCTAGCTGGTATTTGAAGGTGGGGAGGGAGGGGGCAAGGTGGAGGGATTGAGGGAGAATGTTCCAGAGTTTCCAGGCATAGTGGCTAAAGGGAAAGCACAGCCACCAATGGTGGAATGGAGGGCACAAGGGACAAACAGGAGGCCGGAGCCAGCCGAGTGGAGGCTGTGGGTGGTGGAGTGGGGGAGTAAGCAGGTCGGATAGGTAGGGAGGTGTGAGGGCATGAGGGGATTTGAAAACAAGTGAGAGGATCTTGAAATAGAACTGTTCGGTAATTGGTGCCAGTGGAGCCTGACAAGGACTGGTGTGATGGGGGGGTTTGTGCGGGTGAGTATCGGGCGGCGGAGGTTTGAAATAGATAAATTGGATAAAATAGAATACATTCCTCACGTTTTGATCCTAGTTTTGTGGTTTGCCTGAACACTTTTTTTGTCAGCCAGGTGTCTGACACATGCAGAAACCCATCGCCATGCTTAAGAGTATCCAAACCAAGCTGAGAGTTCCATGCACCTCACCTTCATATGGAAATCTCATAGATAGATTATTGGAATGGAATGTGCGCTTTTTCCCTGGAAGGATGCATTCTGCTTACCTGATTCCGGAAAGTATTAGGCACAGGTTGGCAAGAGCCAAGGCTTGAGACTATCTTGTGTGGCATCCCTCAGGGCTCTGTCCTCGGTCCCCTCCTCTTCACCCTCTATATGCTCCCCCTTGGTGACATCATCCACAGACATGGGGTCAACTTCCACATGTATGCGGATGACACCCAACTCTACCTTTCCTCTTCTACCCTCAACTCCACGACCACCGATGTCCTGACAGCTGCCTGTCTGACATCGAGTCCTGGATGAGAGATAACTTTCTTCAGCTCAACGTGTGCAAAACTGAGGCCCTCCTGATTGGCTCACGTCAGCGCCTCCGCACCTCAGGCGCTGACAGCATCAGCATCCAAGGCTGCACTCTCCACCTCTCAAAGCCAATCAGGAACCTCGGTGTTCTGTTCGACCCTGAGCTGTCCTTTCTTCCCCACATCCGCGCCACAACTCGCACTGCCTTCCACCACCTCCGGAACATCGCCAGACTAAGGCACTACCTCACCCCTCACGCTGCTGAAACTCTGGTCCACGCCTTTATCACCTCAAGGCTGGACTATGGGAACTCTCTCCTCGCCGGCCTTCCCGCCACCTCCCTCCACAAGCTGCAGGTCATTCAGAACTCTGCAGCTCATGTACTGTCCCGCACCAGGCTTCGCGACCACATCACTCCCACCCTCGCTCGCCTCCACTGGCTCCCCATCCCCCAGAGGATCGAATTCAAGATCCGCATCCTCACCTACAAGGCCATTCACGGCCTTGCTCCCTCCTACCTCTCCGACCTACTGTCCCCCTACTTACCTGCCCGTATTCTCCGTTCCTCTGGCTCTGGTCTGCTCCACATCCCTCGCCCTAACCGCCCTACCATCGGTGGCCGGGCCTTCAGCCTCTCAGCCCTGAGGCTCTGGAACTCCATCAGCAGTGCCCTGGAATACTGCCTGACCACAAAAGGATTAAAGCTGAAACAGATCCATGTCATATTGAAATTATGTCATCAATATTTAGCAATGTGTACCACAAATGTTTTCTGTTCTCAGCCAATATTGAACAATAGACATACATTAAGCAATGTAAGCGCCATTGCGGAATACATGCAGAATTACATCATCACAAACAAGTAGAACAGATCTTCAAAATGTTTGATTTTACACGAAAGACACAAGATGTTTGATTTTAGACATGAATGCAAACTATCGTTGTTACCTTTTCTCAGCTGGCTTGGGTCTTCTGCACATCCATCATCCCCTTCGTTCCGCTATTTACGGCCATGCTTTCTGCCACTATGCTCAAAATCTCTGCAACTCCCTGCCTGATTTCTTCCATCTTGACCCCTCTTTGCCTGCCTTCAAATCACATCTGAAGACTTTTCTCTTCGACCATGCCTTCGGTGACTTCCCTTCTCTATCCAGCTCAGCTTTTGATGCACTCTGAGACACTACCATGTGCAGCATGCTACATAAATGCAAGTCATTGTTGATTTTGTTCTTTCAATTAGAAATTGTTGGTTTCAAATCTGCTAATTTAGTATAATCAATCTCTATTGTTAAATGCCGATATTCAGCAAAATGTGCCGCTCATATCCTGTACCAGCTTTTATCATTTGTTTGGAGAGAATTTTTTGAGATTTGATTCATAAGCATCAGTTATGACAGAAGTTTGGGACATACGCTCAATGTGAAAAGCTCTATATAAATATATATTATATTGTATAACTAAACCACAAATATAGCATTGGGTTTGGTGTGCTTCTTGAAGGAATGTTCTAGTTTTACAATGTACTTTATTTGAATGCTGATTTTTAAAAAAATATTATGTTTGTAAGCTTTACTCAAATAAAATGTAATACAGGGATCGTGAACCATGCATTTGCTTTGTGGTGAAACTTTGGTTTGAAACATTTTATTGTTCACCTCTAGGGGGCATCATTGTTTCGCTTTCAGATCATTCTGGAAATATTCCTCCACTACATTTTCACTGCATCACCTACAAAATGCAATCACTAAACTTTACAATAAATCCAAGATCAAATGCAAAAATGATTGCATTTAAAGGAGAGTCCTGGACATCAGATGGCAAGAAAACCAAGAGTTATTTTGCTCCAACGCCTGTCAGGGGATGAGGTGTAGGCTTAGAGGAGCCCAGGCTGAGATGGAGGCTGATGTAAAAGTTGAATAATGATCCTTGCATTTGATAGAGCACTTTTCACACCTTCTAGACATCTCAAAGCACTTCACAGAATATACTATAAAGTGAATTAACTGTATATTTGTGGGAGAAATGCGGCAGTCAATTGCGCACAGCAGTGTCCCACAAACAGTCGTGGATTGAGTGACCAAATTATTATTTATTAAAATTTTTCTTGAGGCATCAGGCGTGTGGAGTAAGGAAACTTGCCCAAGGTTTTGTCCTGCCAGGAATCGAATCCAGGTCTCTCGTTTGTGAGGCAAGTACTCTAACCACTGAGCTACAGGACTCCAGGAATGGACCATGCACTGACTGAGATGTCCAGCATGGCAGCCATTTTCCTAAATTGATCATTCACTTTATGGCCTTTTGTAGGCCTTTGCTGCATGCAACTCAGCTGCCAATTTTGCCTACAAATCTGCTGTCACCCTGCTCGACCACGACTCGCTTTGTAGGGCTTTGAGATAGAGACATGAAAAAGCAAGGAATCTCATATTATGCCTCCTGCTATGAACGCTCCAAGATGCTACCCTGCTGATGGGCATGTATAAATGTAAGTTGTTGTGCTTGTCTTGTTTTTCTTATTCAAGCCAATAAGCAACAACTACTTGCATTTATCATAGAGTCCTTCACATAGGATAGTGCCTCAGTGCACTTCACAGTGTTGGGGTGATGCCAAGCAAAGAAGAAGTGGGAGGGGGAGATGACCATAGGCATGGCCGAAAAGATTGTATTTTATGATGGGATTTAAAGATAAATAGAGGGGCCGAGAGGGAGGGATAGAGGCGGGGAGTTACAGGAAAGCTCTGCGCACATGTACATGAAGCACTGACTGACAATAGTGCCCCATTATAAGGCAGGTTGGTATTTCATGCCCCCAACTACCTCCTTATCACATGGTTCTACTGTATTTGCAAATCGGAATTCTTTGCACTAATCACTCATTTTGCAGTTGAATTTATATGATTCATATCCAAATTTTCAAAGAAAAACATGATCCTAAAGGCTGGCAAAGACTGGTTTTGTGGCTGGAATTTTGCTTATCATAATAATTAAATAATAATAATAATTTTTACATTTGATTTTGGGTGTCTCAAAACACTTCAGAGGATTTATTTAAAGTATATTGACTGTACATTTTGTGGGAGAACATGGCAACCAATTTGTGCACAGCAATGTCGCACAAACAGCCAAGAAACGTTTAGTCTGACAATAGGCGCAAAGGATTTTAACATTTTTGTCAGCAGTGAGTGTTGTTCCGTTTATATAAAAGTCAATCAACATGGAATTATTATTAATTATTATTGTAAACACTAATTATGATCAGTGCGTTCAGCTAGGGAGCTGCAATGTAAATATTACAAATAATAATAATAATTTGGTCACACAATCCATGACTGTTTGTGGGAAGTCATTGTGCTTAATCGGCTGCGGCTTTTCGCCCATACAACACACAGTCGCTACACTTTACAGTATATCCTGTGAAACACTTTGAGACATCTCAACGACATGATGAGCCACTATATCAAATGTATGGATTATTATATTATAAATGAATGATCAATTTTATTTAGGAGATGGATGGCCAGGTCACCGGGAGAAACTTCCTTCTGTTTTCGAATACTGGCATTTCTAAAATCCACCTGAACAGACAGATATGGCCTTGGTTTAACATCTCATCTGAAGATGGCACCTCCAACAATACAGCACTCCCTCAGCACTCCATTGGAGTTTAAACTCATCTTAATCAGCTTAAACGGTATGAGTTCCAAGTCCGGACCTGGGACTTGAACTCACAAACTTCCAACTTAGAGGAAAGAATGCTACCAACTAAGTCAGGCTCACATACAAATACTTCATGAGTATTCCTATGAAACAAATCAATAGCATTTTTTCTGAAATTAATCAATAAACACATTTTTAATTAAAATGAATATTTTATTCGTCATTCTTCTTATCAACACTCAGAAAATCTTTTAAAAAGCATTTGTGAAAGTTCATTTACTGACAACCATTGAAGATGGTTTGAAATTGTGCTGTCATTCTAGATATCAGAGAAATATCATTTGTGTTCTAATGTCTCCTTATACACAAATAAACAATAAAGATGTTTGACGATATTGTCAAATCACATGAGATCAGATCACTCTCAGCCTGCACCTGTGATGGAATTTTTACATTGTCATTGCCTTAAGGATTTAGATTTAAAATTTATGAAAAACAACATATTGGAAAATTCTTAAATTCAATCTCATTTTGGAAATAGTTTTTTAGGCAGTTCTTAAAAAGATCATCAGGAAATCATTTTAAGATTGAAGTTAAGAATTTTCAAATGAATTAATCCAATACAAAATTACATTTGTAAAGCGCCTTTCACTTCAGGAGGACATCCCAAGGTCCTGGACAGTCAGGGATTCGGGGGGTGGGTTGTGGGGTTGGTGTAAGGGAGGGTGGAGGGCAGGGAGGGTAGTAGGATGATCAAAGGTTCGGTTGAAGAGGAGGGTCTTAAGATATGCCTTCAAGGAGGAAAGAGAGGGAGCAAGGCGAATGGAATGTGGGTTGGGGTTCCAAAGGGTAGGGTTGGAGAGGCTGAAGGCCCAACCACCGATGATGGGGGGAGCCAGTCAGGGAACGTGGAGCGGGAGCCTGCTGAGCAGAGGGAAAGGACAGGTTGATAAGGGGCAGCAGGTCACAGAGGCCTCTTGAATACTCAATATATTCTGAGTGGGTGATATGCAGATACTGCCCAGGCCTAAAAGCAATGCTGAGAACAGCAACATGGTTGAGCCCCATTCTGAGAGAGGTGAGCTATGAGAAGCAACTGGATGAATCGGAGCTCTTCAGCCTTGAAATGAGCCATCTTTGAAGGCACCTTATAAAGTTATGTAAGTTGTTCAATGGGATCTGAATCATACTTTCAAGCCAAGACATTAGGGTAAAAGGACATAGATTCAGAGTTGTAAAGGACAATATCAGGACGGATACTGGATAAATAAGGCCTGGAATGAGTTACCAAAAAGATGGTTGAGGCTGGACTCATTTAGGAAACAGGTGATGTTGAAATAACTAAGTTTTGATATTCTGGAAGGATGAAATCAAATGGGTCTGAGGTCCTTCATTATCCATACCTCTTTTGTGATCTTAAGTCTATTAATAATAGCTTGAGACATCTCAAAGCGTTTCACAGGATTTTACTATGACGTGTAGGGACTGTGTATTTGTGGGTGAATGAGGTAGGCAATTTCCACAAGCGATGTCCCACAATCAGCTGTGAAGTGAAAGACCAATTTCATATGGGGTTTTATTATAGTTCCATTGCCCTGTTAAAGGAGTCCAGGAAGCGATCATATGAAACATGGTCATGTTAAATAACAATTCCTTCAGTTGAAATATTTAGGGCCTGTTGCTCCTGTTTACATTTGTCCCTCTCCCTGAATCTTGATACTCTCATCGCTACCGGTCCCCTGACATTCCCCTAAAAAAGGTTGATGCACCTCACCTATCTTCTCCCCTGTCACCTTATGTTGCATTTTGCTCTCATCCTCCTTAGAAATCTTTCCCAAATCCTCCTTACCAATATTTTGTGAATCAGAGCTTTGTTTCCCCCCAGAATTTTCAATCTTCAAATTCATGGTGTTCTGGAAGTTAGGATCCTTGCTGCTGTAATTTTCTATTGAACTTAGAGGCCTTGTTGTAGAGCTTATTGAAATTCCGCCAGAAACAAAAGGTGGTGTGGAATACTTTAAGGCATTTTTGGAATACACCTGTGACCTAAGCTTCCTTTTCCGACCTGTTATCTGCCTACAAATAATGTAAAATATTTCAACTAAATTCAGAGCAAGTGATACACCAGCCATAGCCAACATGAAGATAATGAAGATGGACTTTTCTGTTGGACGAGAAATGAAGCAATCCACCTTATGTGGACAAGGACTCCTTTCACATACAAACAGAGGTTCTAAAGTGAATCCATAAAGATACCATTGACCCACTCCGAAACCAATTTCCAATATAATTTTACACAAAACATTTAGCAAGTAGGTGCATAATAGGGTGCCTTGCATTTTCACTTTTCCATTATTTACAATATGCTTGGATGTCTTGCGTTTTTGGACAAGTATTTCCATCTCATCATGTTGACATCTCACTTTTTCTTCTTGGTGGATTACATGCAAGACATGTCCAAGGTAGACCAGGGTAGGGGTTGAAACGAAGATGATTTGGAGGACCCAGAAGCGAATGTGTGAGATGGGGAAAGCCTTGTCATAGCAAACATTTTCACAACCTGGTTGTTGGGTGTTGCAAAGAAAACCAGACTGTTCGTCACCCCAAACATCTTCTGCACCAGCCCCAAGCAGTAGGATCCGGAACACAAACAATACAGTCAGCCAAATTTTGCCAATCACTGTAGAATGTGAGTGAACGCTATCCAGCAGTCTCCCTAGTAACGACCAGTCTCCCATTCTTCAGAAAAAGAAACACCTGCAGAATTAAATGCAAATGTAATGCTGAATTACAATCTGGAAACAAACCAATTAAATAATCATTTAAATCACAACTTCAATAATGTCATTTACTTTTTTTTATAGTCTTTGCACCACGCAAATAGTAAGCACATAAAATATAGCTTTAGAAAGTAACATTTTAAAATATATATATATACATTTTCCATCAATTGTATAAAACAGTAATAAAAATGATCTTTGGAGCAAAGAGGTTGGTAAATCACTGACTACTGTTTGGCAGGTAAACTAATTGAAAAGCCAGTCATTTGATTTCTCATTAAAGAGATCCAAAGAATCTTTCTTGACTGCCTGATATTCTACAAAGCTCGTTAAATAATACCATTTTAAGATCTTAGAAAACGCTTTGTTAACTTGTTACTTTATTAATGTGTTTGCATTTACTTACCACTTACATCTATAGAAATATCCAAAGCACCAAAGGGAAATATAAAATATAATCCCTGGAAGAGCAAGGGTGAGTGCGCATCATTATTACCTCTGTAGCTCACATTAAGTAGTTTGAAGGTAATCATAGACCACAGAGTCTCTTTCTAAACATAAAAATCTAACTGTTTTGAAAAATATATATTTTTTCAGGAATAGGAAGATTTACAAGGAGAAAGTCAATAAAAGTAAATAAGTGCAACACTTTTTTCTATTCTGATATTGGCAGCAGATTGTGTCTGCACCACAATTTGTGCTGTGACAAATTCTTCCCCTCCCCATGCATCATGCTGGTGTTAAACAATGTTGCCTGTTAGTATTGAAGCCAAGAAATACATTAAATAGGAGGAGTATGTTACACAGCATGAAGTTCTTTTAGCATCCCAGAGCGATTCCTCTCTGTTAAAAACATGACATTTTGCATTCCTTTAATGCTGCCAGCTGCTTCAGCAACAGTGAAGAAATTACTCAGATTTCATGGCTGAATGATATATGATAATCTATAAAGCAAGCGTTCCCAGGAACAAAATGCATCCTATTTTTGCAAATTGGTGTTGATATTTCTTTTAGTTAATGTTGTAGATGTTATTTTATCTTCCTGCTAATTTCAATAATGTTTTCATTTTCAATCCTCTGCACCCACACACATTCATTTGAACAAAAAAAAGAAACAATTTATTCACTTGCACACAGAAAAACATTTTTCTCTGAATAGTAAATACCCCTCACATATTTTCCATATCGTTGGACATGCGGTTCTTTCTAATGTTCAATTCAGTTTTGCTCTCAGCTTCAACACGTATAGTTTGTATGGTCAGCCAGTTTTGATAGACTGAACCATAGAGCAATAGAAATGTACAGTACAGAAGAAGTCCATTTGGCCCATCATGTCTGTGCTGTCTCTTTTAAGCGCAATCCTTTCAGCGCTTTCAACATAACCTTGTAGTTGACTTCTTTTTAGGTATTTATCTCTTTTTAGGTATTGAGGTCCACCATTGGTGGCATATTTCAGCCACTACCCACAAAACTCTGGAAATCACTGCCTCATTCCCTCCAACTTCTCCCCTCCTTGTCCATCTTCAGATGGCACCTGACGACCTCCCTCTTTGACCAAGCCTATGGTCACCGCCCCTCTCTTTCAGGCTCATTGCCAAGCCCTATAGAGTAGTGTCTCAAAGAAGGACGCTATATAAATGCAAGTTGTTGGGCTTATCCAGCTGCCTTTTGAAACCAAGCAAGAAGCTCAACATGGTAGGCACCTGGGAAACATCTCCATGGTGAGTGCAGGATTCCTTCCTATCCTGGTGTTATCTGAATTTTATTGGCATGGCCTGCCAAGGTATCTTGCAGATGGGGTAAAAACTGGCAGGAGTTTTCTATGGGGATACATTTTGTTTTAATGAGAAAAATATATTTGAATTGTCATAAAATATTTAATTAGCTGAATGATAATCAAATTGCTTGCTCCCACGCTTTCACATCCTAAGGAATTATAGATTTGAGAACGAAAGAGTCGTGTTTGTCACTGGTCATCGGGCAGGTGGGAGGGTACATGTGCACTGTGATGAGTCTGCTCAGATGTAATGTATATGGTGAAAGAGAAGAGAGTTTCTCCAAGTGACCTGGTCAACAATACCCCAAATAAAATTGGTCATTTATTCATGGCTGATTGCAGGACATTGCTGCACACAAATTGGCTGTCGTGTCCACCTACAAATACATAGTAAATGCTGAAACTTCTCGACAATGTGCTAAGGCACTAAATCAAAAGCAAGGATTATTTATTATTGCAATATTTGATAGGAGAATTACAGTATTAGCAACTTAAGCACTAAGCAATGCCACATTAAAATCAATGTTTATTTTTGTAAACATCGGCTCTGGAACTCTATCCCCCAGTGCCTTCGCCTTGCCTCCTCCCTTTCCTCCTTCAAGGCCGGTCTCAAGACCTTTCTCTTTGACCATGCCTTCAGCTCCCCTCTCAACTCTCTTCCCCCTCCTCGCCCCCTCCCTTCCCTCCCCTCACCCTGACCATTTCCCCCCTGCTTGGGTCCTGACCCAACTGTGCAGCGCCTTGGGACGTCCTCCCGACGTGAAAGGTGCTCAATAAATGGAATCTTGTTGTTGTTGTTGTATAACATACCAAATTAGTATTAGTTTACTAAATTCGTATCTACGTTTTTGATTTCAATATGTTAATGGAATTGGCTGGGTTTCAGTCAGGCTTGCTTTCATTCACAATTCCCTCAGCCCTCACTTATGATAAATCTTTACCCAAGCTCAGTCTATTGTCTTTCAATCCTTTCACTGATAGATCTGTCTGCCAGATTTGGAATTGATCAATAACTTGCCAAGTAATGTTGATTATTACATTCCAACATGTACCACCAATCTTCCAAATAAAATAAATCTTTCCAAGATGACCTTTTTATCCAGCCAAATATTCTCTTATAATAAATTTGTTACAGAAAAGTGTATTCTTTTCTAGCATGAACTTTGATTCTCTTCATTTATCTAAGTGACAGTCAGTACTGTGCTGTGCACTTGAAAGATGATAAAGAAGAAGCTAGTAGAAGTTTAAGTTTATTTGTGCAATTAAGTAATTTGTTGTACTGTAGGTCAAGTTAGAGGTGACAGCTTTGTAACCTAACCATTATTTGGATTAGAAATCCTTCTCGGCCACACACTATTGGGACCATATTTTAGATGCCATTTTGTCCTGTCGGTGAAATGAGCACTTAATTATTAATGGGAGCCAAATTGGAGTTTTGGGAGTACTAAAGAGATTTATTATTTATAAAGCTCTATAAAGAGAGTCACAGAATTTTGTTAAGAGCTCAAGGACGCTATGCCACGTGAAGGGCGTTATAAAAATGCAAGTTGTTATTGTTGTATGACTACTTTGCCTTAAAATTATTATTGATAAAACGATATATTGTTATCAAATTTATAGATAATAATAATCCCTCAAGAAAAAAATAATAAATTGGTCACTTCAATCCACAACTGTTTGTGGGACACTGCCTTGCGCAATTGGCTGCTGCGTTTCACCCACAAATATACAGTCAATTCACTTTACAGTATATTCTGTGAAGCGCTTGGAGACGTCTAGAAGACATGAAAAGGGTTATATCAAATGCAAGGATTATTTATTATTATTTATATTGCACAAAATTGTGAGTATTAACATGAAAGCTGGTGTGTTAAAGTTCTTAGAAAAAGATGGCTTCCAAATTAACACTGAATTTAAGAATGTTTTAGAATTCTGTGCAATTCTATGCAATTTTAAATTTTCTTACAATAGAATACCCGAGCTGAATGTGGGAGGTGAGGGGCTCGGGATGTGAAAGATGACCGAAAGCATGGTTTTACAGTTTTATAAAGTCATGCTTAATCTGGTCACTCAATGCACGACTGTTTGTGGGACGCTGCTATGTGCAATTGGCTGCTGTGTTTCGCCCACAAAATATACAGTCAATTCACTTTACAATATATTCTGTGAAGTACTTTGAGACATCTCAATGACATGATAATGCGCCATATCAAATGCAAGGATTATTATTATTATTATAGTAAATATCTTTAGTCATACAGACTAAAACTAGTTGGATTTAAATCTTGCATTGGCTTTTTTTCAAATAAAAGTTCTAATATTCTCCTTGGAGGTATAAGTGTCTATCAGAGGTTTCTGAACATGTAAAGGAATTAAGCATTACAATGATACTGAACAACAATTAATCTTAAAATCTACAATTTTCTGCTGCCTCTGAGACTGATAGAACAAGGGGGGAATTTAATCAATGTCTAAGTAGGCATCCAGACTACCTCAGAGTGCTGCAGCTTTGGCTGAAAACCCCAAATGGTATTTGTTCAGTTATATGGTAGCTGGAAGTATATCATATTCTCCAAGTAAAGGGAAGAAATGAGAGATGTGTCCCTCACTCCTCCACCTCCCTAAAACAGCAGATGAGGATTGTGTGGATACAAGTCATGCCAATACAGTTGTCAGCCTGGTAACATCTGTCAGCCTGACTCAGCACTGTGGTAGCACTCTTGCCTCTGAGTCAGGAAGTTGTAATTTCAAACCACACATTGTGAGTTTTTGAGCTTGCAGTCTGGGCTGACATTCTTGATGTAACAGAGAAAGCCGACCTTCAGATGTAACATGAAACCAAGGTCCTGTCTGCCTATTAAGGTGGATATTAAAGATCAAAAGGGAAGGGAGTTTCTCCCAAAGTCCTGGCCAACAATTCCCCAAAATAAAATTGGCCAGTCACTTTGTGACTGTTTGTGGGACATGGCTACGTGCAAATTGGCTGCCACATTAGTACACCTCCAACATTGCTTTACAGTATCAGCCTATACTACATGAATTCAAAGTTCCAATGTGGATATTGAACCCACAAGCCTTAGACTCAGAGGCTAGAGGCTCACTCAGAGAAGTGTGCTACCAACTAAGACAGATGACATTGTCCTCACAAGATTGACACTCGTTTCTTCTTTCCTTTTCACTTTCCAAAACAGTAATGATTCCCCTCTTTATCTTTGTTAATTGTGCCTATCTCCATCTATGTTATAGTCCTCATTCTGAAGACTCTTGATATCCTTGTAGCTACTATTAATACTGCTTTCATTCAATCTGCCAAATTCCCTTCTCTCTCCACCATTCCCCCAAACACACATAAATGCATGCAAATCATGTAGTGAGGGAAACAGTGAATGAAAAGACTGGAATCTTATCTTTGGTCCCCCAATCTGAGCTCCAGTAATTGCACTGCTGGACCTGGCCATTTCAATTATAATTTATGTAAAAAATGTATGTTGAGAATTCTTTATTATTTCCATACAGTGTGCAATTCAATCTCAAATTGATATGGTGCATAACATTCTGAATACATTTATGAACTAAAACTGATTACCTCATTGATAAATTGGACACTTTTAAGAACTATCATTGGCTCATCTAAAATTAAAATTCATCCTGTTAGTTAAAGCTTGTTTTAGCTGCAGTGCTCAGGAGTGTAGCTGCAACACAATCAGATGAGTTGTGATTGATAGTAAAATCCACGCATTTCAAAATTGAGTTTCAATTTTCCAAATTTCCCCCATTGCATTTTCTGTTAACCTGTTGTGCATTTATCCACCAGCTTTTTTTAGTTTTGTAGTTATGAGCTACTCTTCTGCAACTCAATGTGTAGTAATCCTTTATTGGCTGCATGAAATTGGCTGGAATGTTTGGGGAAATTCTCCTACTGTTCACAGCAACTGTGCAGGCCATTGCCAGAGGATAGGTGGGGTTTGGTGTTGCAAATCACAGCATCATGAGCTATTGCCTGAGATTGTGAATTCAATACATAACCAAGAGCTAATAAAACCCTGGTAACCAGATGTGGTGGATGCCTCTAAGCTCCAACCCTGGGTATCCCCCGAACCCCGGATAATTGCTGGGTGCCTTGCTGAACTACCTAACTACTTTGCCAAAGGGCCTTTTACTTCCAGGCTGTGATTGTCAGTACCCCTTCCCAATTGTTGGATTGTGCTAGAGAAGACATATGTCACCCCTAGAATATCTGACTTAAACTCCCCTCCCCTCCCCCAAAAAACTGGCATTAGCTCTTTCAACATTTGTGTACTGGGATTTCAGTCCTAAAGTTGCTCATTGTATCAAACAATGTGACAAAATAAATGTCATTCTTGATTCTCCAAAATAATTAACTAAATCTTCAGTAAAATGGTATAGTTTGAAGGTCAAGACTGTTTTTTTACCATAATAGTTGCCATTTTTTAGATAACATTTGAACATTCCATTCTCATATTGGCAAGATATAGCAAGATACAACACAGCCCTGTTATAAAACATTTCTTTACAACATGAATTTGATTATAATGTATTTACACTGTTTAAATGTAATTTTGTTATTGTTGTTGTAACTGCATATGAGCACTGTTGGTCAGCTCGCTAACTGTGAGCTTGCTGATTGACGTACAACCCTCAGGGAACACTGGCCTTCTTCATGTCCTCTGCCTTATCCAACCCATCATTTGTGGGTGAGATTTCAGTCATTCGGCTTCCACTCTTTGGAACTCCAGCCTGGAGTCCTTCCATCTTGCCTCCTCCCTCTCCATCTTTAAAGCCTGATGTTAGATTTTCAGATCCCATTATAAGGTGATTCCACTGTTTAACCAAACAGCATTTCTAAATTGATACAGATCAAATGGTTCATGTGTGAGATAAAATAATTGTGTGTAACAGTAAACTCCTAATAACTCGTCATTCCGAAGGAAAATGGCTTAGTGATGAGTTATTGACGAGTGGTGAGTTAGGCATATCTATAAATATATAAATATATGCGGCCGAGATATTGCCAGCATTATGACTTAAGCGATAGTGACAAGTTAAGCCAGTTACCACACATTTACTGTATTTACACTCAGTAACAAATGTGCTTTTTTAAGTTTGCTTTTTGAAGGCAACAAACAGCCCTTCACAGTACTGAGAAGGTCACACTCATGCACCTAGGTTCAAACCACCTGCTATCCATCTCAACCTGAGAGAGGGTGCTTAGTGTGTAAAAACCTGTATGAAGGGAGAACATATAAATCAAGGCTGGATAAGTTCTACCAGGACTAGGTTCAAGTCCCATAATAATAATATTCCTTGCATTTAATACAGCACCTTATCACATTGTTGAGATGTCTCAAAGCACTTAACAATATATATTGTAAATTGAATTGGCTGTGAATTTTGTAAGCAAAATACCCTATCGGGACTTTGAATTCCCAGACCAAGCTAACACTACAGTGCAGTGCTGGTGGAACTTGAGACGTCCTCTGGATATAAAAGGAACTGTATGAAATAATTATTGATTATTAATTCTGCCAATGATATTCCTCAATTTATATTCATTTATTATGGATTTAACAACCAGCAGAAGAACCTCTCACTATTTATTCTCTAAAAACCTTGCTGAATTTTGGAAACTTCCATTGATCCCCTCTTAATCATCTCTGTTCCATATTGTTCTAGTTATCTGAAGTTCATTTGCAAAACAAAACACTTAGTTATTAACTCAGGAGCATAGTTCACACATTACAATAGCAATACTGTAGAATTAGCTGTTACATTTTGTTAAATTTCCTTAGGACAGGAAAAAGCCAAATTCCATGACAAATGTCAGCATGTTTCTCCCCCACACCTGCCCCACACACACAACATTAGCATATACTTTATGTGGTTATTTGATAACATTAGGTTACATGCAGTATACATCACTTAACTTACCTGTTAAGTAAAGCAACAGAATCCACTTTGGAAGAGTATAGAACGATGACCATTTGATCAAAAACTAAATGAGCAAAAGAAATAGACGATTGCACAAGAAATTCAAATATTTACTGTTCCAATCTGTCGTAACCAATTGGCTTGTTTGCCTCTGCTCTGAAGAAACCAAGGTTATTTTATTCCCATTGCATAATATTAATGGAAAATATTAACAAGTCATTTTTTCCACCTTTTGCACCCAATGACCACTTTGGAATTATAGCATATGTTTGATGTAGGCTACAACAACAACTTACTTTCATATAGTACATTTCTTTTAGGGCAACATCTTGCAGCACTTTACACATGATGCCAAACACTGAGCAGGGATGATGGGGCTGGAGGTAGGAGTGAACTGACCATAAGTATGATTAAAGAGGTAAGTTTTCACAAAGCTTTGAAAGGCAGAGAGAGAGAGAGAGAGAGCAGATGGAGGGATTTAAGGAGTGCTTAGGAGCATAGTGGCTAAAGGTTTACCACTGATTGTGGGGCAGTAAGCTTTTAATGACAGAAAGAGGGAAAGGTGGAGAGACTTAGGAAAGTACTTTGAGAGGGTAGGGGGATAATGGCTAAAGGCTTGGCCACCAACGGTAGAGTGGAAGAGGCGAGGAACAGGCAGCGGACCTGAAATTAAGGAATGGGAGGCCTGCGCAGTAATAATAATAATAATAATAATAATAATCCTTGCATTTGATATAGCGCTTTTCACGTCGGGAGGACGTCCCAAAGCGCTTCACAGAACACACTGTAAAGTGAATTGACTGTATATTTGTGGGCGAACGCGGCAGCCAATTGCGCACAGCAATGTCCCACAAACAGTCGTAGATTGAAAATGACCAATTTAATTATTGTTTTTAGTTTTGGAGGGATTATTATTAGGCGTGTAGATTGAGGCTGGAGAAGATCACAGAAGTAGAAAAAGGTAAGGCTGTGTATGGATTTGGAGGTGAAAGTAATGAAGTTGGTCCTCTGGAAGCCAGTGGAGCCTGGCAAGATGGGATTAATAGACAAACAAAGCTTAGTTCAGGTGAGGATGAGAGTGGCCAAATACTGGATGAACTAAAGCATCGCTGGGGTCTAATTTATAGCTTTTCTTAATCAAATTTCATAATCCTTAATCCTGCACAAGGAATCCCATAAGAATTTCCATCAATCAACAGTAACTTCTCTCTAGAGGTAAACTGAATCAGTGTGGAGGTCCTGTGGGATGGTATGATATGTGCCCGTGTATTGGAAGGAGTTCATTTATGCAGCTTGGATTCCTTATTAAGCGACCCCATTAAGAACAACAACTTGCACTTATATAGTCCCCTTCATGAAAGATAGCATCTTGGAGCATTGAAACATAGATCGCAACTTAGCCCCAAATGTGCCACAATCCCAATCTCAGAAGAGCTTCCTCAATTACATCAGTTGCATGTTTCCATTGACAGCACCAGGTGTACTTTAGATTTTTTGGAGTGAGATTTTCTATTTTGTGCTGCGTTAGAGTTTGAGATTACAGAGATTCGGATGATATGTGGAAGTTAATGTGCTAAATCAGCATTGCACAGGATATGGGGAAGAGAAGGGAATGGAGGGGAATAGGAAAGGGGCTTACGAGGGGTGGAAGACTTGTTGGGCCAAATGGCATGTTTCTGTGCTCTATGTGAGTATGAGACGACAGTCCAAGTTGTATTCCAAAGCTTACTCATCGGTTTGCTGATGAGTGCATGAATTATTACATTTATAAAATAGCTTAAAATAGTAATACGGTGCTATATCAAATGCAGCGATTATTATATTATTATTAGCTTAGTTTGTTATACATGGTTTTGGCTGCGGTTGTGTAAGTCGCTGATGCTGGTCTGAGTCTTTGAAGTTATTTTCCATTCCATTGCAAATATTTGTGTTTTTGTTGCATGTGTGTCATTTGGACTAGTGCCATAGGTCAAGAGTATTATCACACTAGATAAGTCCAGCCATCTGTTCAGCAAGAAAAGTACAGTACGTGGCATACTCTCCAAGGTCATCTTGTTACAATGGAACTCCTCCAGCCCTCCATCAGCTAAGAAACCCAAGAAAGAGGGGAACAAGAAAAATCTATGTAGGTCATCAATTCCTTCCCTTTATAAACCTTGTAAAATTTATTCATAATGGACTCTATCCAACCAATGCAACCTTCCTCCTTGTCCACAAAAAAGTAAATCAAACAGAATACACATACAGATCTAATTGTTCTTCTTGCATCATTCATCGGAGGCTGGTCGCTTGCATTAGAATGATAGTACAGTACATTGCCACCACAGGTTACAAATCATCATATTCCATAAACACAGGCATGGACTAGTTTTGCCCACAAATGTACAGTCAATTTACTTTAAAGTATATTCTGTGAAGTGATCTGAGACACCTAGAAGACTTGAAAACCGCTATATCAAGTGCAGTGATTATTATTATATTATTATATACATTTTGATTATTCTTCCTGTACTGATACTCATAGCCCTCAATGCTGTTCAGAAACAAATATTGATCCAGCTGTTATTTAAAGGTACTTGTCAATGTGGCACAATTTCGTTTTAACTGGGAATTATTCCAAATGCCTGCATTAATTGTTCACCGCAGGTCACTCTGTACGCATGTCTCCTAATGTCACAACATTTAGTTATAAAATAGGCTTTGTTTTCATTATTTGAAATGTTGTTAGTCATCTCATAAGGCTGAGAGCTCTTGAATAAGTTCTATCATGTGGTCTATGAATAGGATCATTTTACATCCCATTACTGTAGAACTACATTCCTTTTTGGTTCTGAATTTTTTTTATTTTGATTGTTTTGTATGCAACTTTGGATTTGTGGCATTGTGTATTTTTATTTATCATTGCTAAAATAAAAAATAATAATCCTTTCATATCTGGAGGGCGTCTCAAAGCAGGATTTTTTTACTGTATAGTGTATTTTGCAGGCAAAATAGCAATCAATTTGCACACAGCAATCATCAATTTCATCCATCTATTTCAGGCATTTATGTCTGTAATCTAACTTAATCCAAGTCACCGGTGTGTTAGTAGCTTCTTTATTTTGTCTTTCCCAACTCTCAAATAAAGCACCACGCTACATCACACACCCTTTGTCCCACTCCCAGTGTCCTTTTATACTTCCTCTCATTTGCTCCTTGTCAATTGTCCATTTAATCTTAATTAAGTATTCAACGATGACCATTTTCATCGCTGTTGAAATTATTTTGGGTTATTCTGTGATACTTCACACCGCATAGTACTGTATTTAGCCATATTGTTGTGATCAATATTTTGATACTCAAGTGGTCCTACAGAAATATAGAAATCTACAGTGCGAAGGAGGCCATTCAGCCCATTTAAGCTGCACTTGTTCACAATACCTGGTTCATAAACTTTGTCTGTTATATTATCTGAAGTATTTACAGCAGCATTTGGTCATGTCCCTATTCTTGTTTGTTTAAACGTTCGTTTTCATTGAATTGACCTTTCTGTGAAACTATGCTCAGTGCACATAGTATTTGATAGCTGTAGAATGGAATGACTGCCAGTATTGGTGAAGCCAAAATAAGGATGTCATATACAAAATGCTGTTGTATCTCAACTTTTTGGGGGATCAGCCGGGTGCCTGACACATGTGGAAACCCATTGCCATGCTTAAGAGTATCCAAACCAAACTGAAAATTCCTTGCTTCCTACCTGCACATGGAAATTCCAGTTTTCACTTTTCACTGAGAATGTATCAGAATTAGGTGCAACTTGTCTGGAGATATTGTGTGCATTGTGTAAGTGACAGGTCCATTGAAATATTTTTGTTTTGATTGAGTATTTCTTCACACAACAACACAAGAAATTACATTTGTAAAGCACCTTTCGAGAGGACGTCCCAAGAAGCTGGACAGTCAGGGATTTGGAAATGAGCTGGAGATTGGGATCAGGAGGGGAGAGCAGGCCAGAGCCTGCTGAGCAAAGGAAGTGGAGGGATCATTATGGTGTTAGCAGGTCACAGAGGTAGGAAGGAGCACTGCCATGGAGGGTTTTGAAGGTGAGGATTTTGGACTCTATCCTCTGGGGGATGGGGAGCCAGTGGAGCCAGACAAGGATGAGGGTGATAGGGTCATAGAGAGGACATGAGCTGCAGAGTTCTGAATGATCTGCAGCTTGTGGAAGGAAGAAATGGGGAGGCCGATAAGCAGATTGTTGGCATAGTCAAGCCTAGATGTAACAGCGGGTTATGAACAACTACAACATGTTACCAGGACTCATAGTTGAGACCAGGACATTGGACATAGTTAAGAAAATCTAGATGTTGTAATGGAAAAATGGGAGGGTTAATATTCTGTAAGGATGAGTTCAAATGGGCTAAAGGGCGTTCTTCATTTGTACCTCTCATTTTGATCTCTTTTGATCTGACATGATCTCTTGGCCTCTGCTCATTAGTTACTGTTTTACATTCTTTGGAGGTTCATGATATCTGTTTCATGTTCTTCTAGTTAATACAGTCCTCTTGTGTAAAAATAATTTTAAAAAATCCTTGCATTTGATATAACTCTTTATCACTTCTTCAGTACATCTCAAAGTGGTTGACTATACTGTAAAGTGAATTGACTATATTTTGTGGGCGAAATGCGGCAGTCAATTGCGACTGCAGTGTCCCACAAACAGTCGTGGATTGATTGACCAAATTATTATAATATTATTTTTGAAGGGATTGTTATCCCTGGAAAAGTGATCCTTAACGATTAGCCTAAGCTTTTGTCCTGCCCAGGAATCAAACCCAGGTCCTCTTGCTTGTGAGGCAAGTGCTCTAATCACTAAGCTACAGGACTCCACAAGTGCAGTACATTGGTCCTTTTTATAATGCAGGTTTCGTCAAAATAAACCATGTGTAGGACATTGCTCAGAAACAGATGTCATAATAATTAATAATAATTGCATTTTGATATAGCGTCTTATCACATCGTCGACATGTCTCAAAGGGCTTCACAGGATATACTGAAAATTGGAGTGACTGTGTATTTT